AAAAAGCGGAACGTAATCGGCACCGCCCTTCCCCCGCTAATGCACAAAATCCTGGGGTCATTATCAACTCACCCACTTTCAACTCGAGAACCAGAAAAGCTGGAAGGCAATGGTCAAAGCAAGTTTTCGAGAACTAGCAGAAGTAGCCAAATCGATGTTCGGTGCTTTGGCTGTGCTGGACTACCGCAACAAATGCACGGATCACTATATCAGCAGCGTGTCAGGAAGAGGTATTTTGCTAGCGGTTTTGGAAATGAGTGCGAAACAACTTAATTCAGAATAGTCTCAAAAAAATTTGAAATTTTTCATTGTAAAACAACATTGGGTTTGATCCCACCCGACTGCCACCCAATACTGATGTTGAGTTGTTTGGAAGCCTGTATGAATACCAGCTGACTGGATACAAAGTGCACGGTGCACGGAATCAGAGCTGTTGCAACCGTTCATAACGTTTGTCTTCGAAAAGGTTTCGTTTTTACAGAATAAAGTGAGACGTACCAGACATGTTCATAAGCAGCTGTTGCAGGTTTCCTTTTGCAGATTCTCCATCCGAACGAGGTGAAAAAGTACAATGTATCTCAACGCATGGAGAAGACGAAATTCCCCTCGATTCCTACAAGCGTCGTTGGCAGTATTATTGGTTTGTCCTTACAGGTCTTTGTAATTTGATTGTTCCTGTCAGTGGGCTAACCCTAATTTTGTGGCTGGCAGCTCATCTTTGTAGCACGTCTTTGAGCAGGATTTGGACTCTCAGGAGACATACGAATTTTTTTAAAAGCGGATCAAAAAATATTCAATGAATCGTTGGTGAACCTAGCGTTTGAGTACGCGCGGCAGTATTAGTAAGTTGAAATCTGCTTAGTATGCTGAATGATCTGGTCTGTATGCAAAATAATTTTTCGTAGTTTTAGAAGGATTACATTATAGAGCAATTCTGTTTCTCATGAAGTATTTTTCAATGTATCTTACCGGAGGGAACAGGACAGTACGGGGAAAGATGCTGAAAACGACTTGGACCGAATGGAAATCAACTGAGACTGCCAGTGTTGCAAAAGGAGGAAGGAGCGAGTAGCAAGGAAACGAAATTGGAAACTAAATCCTTTTCGCCTTGCCCAATTGCCCTTCGTTTCCCTGTGGTACGCAAATGTCTCGTCTCTTGGTTCGAGTTCTCCTCTCCATGAAATTTGATATGATTAAAAATGAAACTGTTTTTGTGGAATCAGAAAGTGTGCCGCTTGAAATTGTTGTGCTTGTCCGGTGGCAGCTTGGAGCTGCTGCCGGGCGATTCCTGGGTTGGTTTATTGTTTGCTTTTTATGCGTTTTTGCAGCTAAGCAATGCAGAAAACGCTTATTGACGACGGGTTATCTGTGTGTCTGTGTGTGCGTCTGTCACGCACTTTCATCTCAGGACCTATAAAAGCTGCGGGGC